TCTGAGAATGTTCTGTTCACTCCCTCTGGGGCATCTGGCACTTGCCACTGTTGGAAGGCAGGACGGACTTTTGGGCTGACCCAGTCTAGCCACTCTCACATTCTTGCTCTCAATCCAGAGAAGAAGAGTGCAAGAGGAACACCCCCAGTTAATGGCTGCCTCTGGCTAAACGTATTTTTGTAAATGTAGTCACTCCACACCTACACTAAATGCCACACCCCCACCTTACACACCCCACAACTGATGAAACACCTACCACTTAACCACTGAAAACACTGCCTTGGCGTGAGTCATTTCATGAAGTAGGACGTCCTGTGGCTTCTGCTCCAAACACAGGAGGCTGCACACACGACTCAGGTCCTCTTTGCATGTCGGAAGTTCATAGAATTCCCCCAGTGTAACACTGATTAGTCCCAGCCCCACCCGGCTCTTCACGGCCACGTCGTTGGGTGGAGCATTTGCTTTGTTCTGATCAAGAAACGGCTGCGCTACTTTTCTCAAGTAATTCACCAGTAGCTCCTTCACCTAAAACAAAGAGGAAGGGGGAAAGGGAGCCATTTCTCTCTCTTTCCCACAAATCCTCAGAGAGTTATCACAAGGGTATCCAGTGGTATAGTTGACGACTGGCTTATTGCAGGGCAAAGGTCTATTTCATAGAACCACAGAGCTGGAAGAGACCTTAGAAGACCATCAAGTCCAGCCCCCTGCCCAAGGCAGGACCAATCCCAACTATTTATTGCTGCTTATGATGCTAGAAAGGCATGTTTGGATTTTCATCATGCCTGGCCACCGCAGATGGACTGACAAAGTGACCCTGGTTAGATGAAGACATCTTGCACACGAACAGAACTGAACCTTTTGCTCTGTTGGTCCTAACATCACCACTCAAACAGCCATTCTCCTTCATTTAATACCAGGCATTCAAGTCTAACTTGAGATATTGCTTCACTGGGCATGGAAAAGCCAGTCAAGCCTCAGGCTGCCTTTAGCATAGGTGTGCATTTTTTAAAAATGCAGCAGCTGGGCCATCCCTTAGCAGTAAAGAAAGGCAGCGTGTTCAGCTAGAGAAATTGTTCTCAACAAACAGCCATTCTCCTTCATTTAATACCAGGCATTCAAGTCTAACTTAAGATATTGCTTCACTGGGCATGGAAAAACCAGTCAAGCCTCAGGCTGCCTTTAGCATAGGTGTGCATTTATTTAAAATGCAGCAGCTGAGCCATCCCTTAGCAGTAAAGAAAGGCAGCTTGCTCAGCTAGAGAAATTGTTCTCGATCAACCCTCTCTCTGACCAAAGCCAGCAGAGCATCACTCAGTTCTAAAGGAGGCCACCCACACCAAATAAATCATTCTTTCCATTTACAGGGCGTCCCTGCTATACATCCAAGCCATGTTCAAAAACACGTGGATGTACAGCAAAACGACGTAAAGCGGGATATTTTTTTCCTGCGGCTGACTTCCATTTGCACAATTATTTTTTTTTGCATGATGTAAGAGCAGGGAATGGGAGGACTTATAATACATCAGCTCCTACAAGTGTCTATGACTTCAGTGCGAAACTGATATAAACCAGGACGACTTATAGCAAGCAGGGACACCTTGTATTCATGAAGCGTTTAGATTAGGCCTCAGATGGGGAAGAGAGCCCAAAGACGGGGAATGGTGGAAGAAAAAAAAAAAAAAAAGTCAGAAACTTTAAAAAATCACCACTTTCCTAGCTCACCAGAAAAAGAAAGTTAAATACGTGGTTAGCTTGTCTGGAAGATCTGTGGAGGGGAAGCCCTGAAGAGATGGTGAAACATTCTGTGAAGACTCCTGATGGCAGATTATGAAGACCAGAAGGAACCCAGACTAATCTAGCTCAGTCAGAGGTGAAAATGTGATACAATACCCTCATAACCCAGAGTGGGCCTGGCTTAGACTAGAAATAAGCACCTAATATGCAAAAGTGAGATATGGTAGGAAATACTTGTTAAAAAAAAATCATTTACCAATATTTTTAGTCAGGAAACACCAAGGACATGTCTGTGCGCCATATTGGCATCGCTCTGAAGCAAATATCTTGTGCTCCTCAAAATTTAATTTAAAAACAAATAGGGTTCATCTACACAGCAACATTATTTCGAAATAACTTAGTCCACGTCTACACAGCTGGCAGTTATTTCGAAATACTTTTGAAATACTGTCAAGCTGGAGGATTTCTTACTCTGACTCCAGTAACCCTCACTGTACGAGGAGTAAGGGAAGTCAGAGGAAGAGTGCTCTATTTCAAAATAAGTGCTGTGTAGACGCTCCCAATTTTGAAATAAGCTACGCAATTCATGTAACTCAATTTGCGTAGTTTATTTAGAGTTAAGCCCTGCTGTGCAGATGCACCTATGGTGTCTAGCTGTTACAGTTGCAAAGATGAGTTCACAAAGGTGAGCCTAGTGTAATCGACACAGAGACATGCATGTCTACAAAGAGCCTGGAACAGCAGCTTTGAGACAGGAGCCAAACTATTTCTCTCAGCGGGGTGATAACTCTGGTTATAAATTGACATATCAACACTGTTAAGACCATCCCACAAGTACCACACCCCATGTTGTGACTCCCTTTGGCGAGCAAGTGCTGGTCGCTAAACTTCATACTGTAACGAAGGCCAGAAGTTCAAGGCGTAGGAGTTTGTGCAAGGGAAATACCAGCATCCCCCTAGGACACAACTCACCCATCTCACCACAGAAAAGCATCCATTACATCCATCACAGGAGACAAAACCGACTCAGGCAGAAGTGGGCAACCTATTGGGGTTCCATCTGCAGCCTGCACACTCCTGTCTGCCTCCCTCCTCTACACTCCTCTCATGCACTGGGGCCTCACACTTCTCACTCCTTCCTCTCCCCCCAGCACTTTCAGAGCACCATGAATCCACTGATTCACGCTCTGTCCCCGCACCAACTAGGGATGTACAATCCCAGTCAAAAAGTTAAGAGGTTAAACAGTGCGACACACTGGGCTGCTTCAGCCCGGCTGGGCACAGGCCCAACAGTGTGGTGGGGCTCCAGCCTGGCCAGGGCACTGGTTAACTACTTACCCGGTATGATCACCAGTTAACTGATTACCCATTAACATCCCTAACTCCAAGCTCTGGGAGGAAGGAGGAGGAGCCAGGACCGAGCGTGAATCAGCTGATTCACGGTGCTTGAAAAGTGGTGGGAAGGAGCGAGTAGGAGGAAGTGTGGGGCTCCAATGCCCAAGTGTGCCAGAGGCGTGGGGTAAGGGGGCAGAAAGGGGGTGTGTACAGGCTGTAGGTGGAACCCTAGTGGGCCATGGGTTACCTAGCACAGATCATGCAGCCCACTGAGAAAAAGGATGGCCACTCATGCAGCCCACTCACTAGTCTTGGTTGCCCATTGCTGGACTATGGATCTCAACAGAAAAGTTAAACCAGCATATTAATAACTCAGTTTCAGCCTCTTCCCCAACAAGCCATCAAATGTCATTAGAATACCTGCTTCTCTCCAAAATCTAGCGATGTCCAGTCCTTCGGTTCCCCCTCAAACACCCTTGGCTTCTTAGTTACTAGGTAAAACTGATGCAACTGGTCAAAGAAGTTCTTCATGTTGATGTCAGTCCACTCGGTGAGGATGCTGAAGATGGTCTCGAGCATAATTTTTGCTGCTATCTGCTTCCCTCTCTCGATGCTTTTCTTCTCATCATCCCATCCAACCCAATTCTTAATGCGGCTCACCAAGCCATCAGAGGGTTTAGTGCACACTATATCATCATACTGGTGCCAAGCTAAAAGGAAATAATTTGTATGCATTTAATGTACGAGAAAAGCAGCATGTGTTTCAATTCCCCTGCTGCCTCACGTGCCTGGTAGCAGACCAGCACGGCACAGCCAGTGCACAGCTCGCTGGTGTAGGATGAAGGAGACCAGAGTTCTGGTCACAGGTCACTTCCCTCCATGTGTGTGTTTCCCTTCCCACCATTGCTTTGACTTCTCCTTTTAGATCCTAAACTCTTCCAAAAAGGGACTGTCCCTTAGTGCACTTGTACAATGAAGCCTCCGATTTCAGAGAGGGCCTGTAGGCATTACTGTACTACAATTACTTCTCATTAATAATCAAACATCAGGCTGCCCCTGGGATCAAGCCTGTCACATGTGAAGTCAAATGGGGGAATCAGAAACCATGACAGATAAATCGTTTGCCTTAGATTATTTCATGCAAGTCCGTCCTTCCATATTTCTACACAAGACCCCGCGTTTTCTCACATGGCTTTGTCGTCACAGATAAGGCTAATCAAGATCAGTGTCCTCTGGCAAATACGAGCTCTCTAACCATGCATAATTATGAAGAAGACTAAACAGTCTCATTCTGTGGAAATCACCTTACCTCCTAGGCGATTCACATGCACTTCTTGCGGCGAAGGTTTGTAAATAAATTCATATTCTCTCTTTTTGCCACGAGAAATAAAATATTTGTAGGGAATCGATTTATTCATGCTGTCCTTGGAAACAGTCACACAACCCTCGATGAGGAGTCCATGCTCTCCCAGGTCCCTGTTGAGGACGACAAAGTGTAACAGTGGCAGCTCGCTAGGAAAACAGGCGCATCAGACATCGGGTACTGGCTGCCCTTCCCCAAGTACCGATTTTTAAAAAGAGGAAGAAGACTTAAAATGATCCCTTCATTAAAAATCTGATCTTTTGCCCCAATATCCAGCTAAGGAAGGTACAAATAGGACTTCAGCCAATGAGCTCATGCACACTATCCAGCAACAGAAATTGAATGTGACAACTAGACAGTTCCCTTTCCCCAACTGGGGCTTTGGGCTCTTCAGTTTTGTGCGTACCAAAGGCTGTTATTTATGTTAGGACTATAAACATATTCTCTTACCTAGCAAATACTTCTTGTTTGATCCATAATCAGCGTATTTCTTTTAAATTCTATGGAGCTAGTTTCTTCTTCCAGCTCTACAGTGGCTCGGTCGCTTTGTGTTGGGGGGAAAAAAAAGTAATCAGTATTCAAGAGATTGTTATCGGAGGTACAGCGCAGAGATGATAGGTATTGTCTGAAGCAGTTAGGGTTCTTGCTCTCTCACTCACACACACACACATACACACACACTCCCCCTTCCACATTTACAAAGAACTGAAAAGTTAAACACTTAATAGTACAGATCATGAATTCTTCAACACACAAGCGCACATACCTTATTACCACAACTACCATACACCACACCCTTAACTCTGCCCCTTTCACTCCTACGTTCTTTTTCTCTAATACTAACAGTCACAGATGTCAGGGGGAGTTAAAGTGCTTGTGCTGTGACAAGGTAGTTTGAGAAAGGATTGTGTGCAGGATGGTGAAAGGTGGTGAAAAAAGGCTGCCAACTCTGAGAACCTAAATAAAAACCACCTGGAAAATGCAAAGGACCAAATTAACTGACTGAAATTCCAAACTGACTAGCCACCTACTTTTTAGGGAAAACCCAGTATTTTAATCACCCGTTTTAAAACACACCCCTCACTTTGGAATCACCACCAGGTGCCTCCTTAATAGCAAGAGGGCTCTGATCTCACCATGTTCAAAGGCTCCACTTCCATGAAAACACCACAGACCCACAAAGGAGGTTCAAAGGGGAAAGAAGGAGACTTCCCAAATCACTATGAAATATTAGCTTAGGTCCACATTTGAAAAGATGAGGCCCTGGTATTATTCTACTTAAATGTAACCAAGTCTTATTTCAGATCACAGGCCTTGTCTAAACTAAGTGTGAAGGCATGCCTCATTAGCTAATCTGACATTAAGCCCTTTTTCCCCTCATCTAAATAGGGCTGCTGAAGAAAAAACCCAGCAGCCAAGGCAGAGACAAAATACTACAAAAGTAAGAAGCCTGATCTAAAATTAAGCCATGTTAGACCTGGAAGAAAGGTACTTACTTCGTGCAGGCCAGTTCACAGATGTTATCCTTCCAGTTCAAATACCCTGAGATGCCTTGTGCCCGGATGAACACTTTATGATGATCAGGATCCAGCTTAAAGTCTTTAGACAATACTGCATGGAAATAAACTGTGACGCCCTCTCCAAGATTCACCTGACTGCAGTGACAGAGAAAAGAGAGTTAAAATTCTACTTAAATATTTTGTGTAATTAAAAAAAAACCAAGTCCATGAGAGCCACCAGCTGTTTGTTTAGTTATTTGTAGTCAACTTCATGAACTCCATTAACATCAGTTTCGTTGCAAACTTCCCCACATCTGGCCAGATAAGAAGGCCGATACAGAGTATTCTCCTACCAGAGTATTACATGCTCACATAACAATTAGGAATAAAGCATTTTCTATAGCCAGACAGAGAACACCCTCCTGTAATCTAACTATAGTCACTGTCTGACGGGAAACAAGCTAGTATGTTATCTGAAGCTATAGCCAATGATTAGGTTACCCACATTGTGGATGCAAAACATTGCTGCCATGAAATGGAGTGAGACAATTTCTGAAGCAGCACTCTCCAGTTAATCTCATGCCTCCCTTATCTCTACGTTGCTCTGCATCATTCTTGACCTTGGCATATTTATCTTTCCCGCCTCTCCTATGCATGGGTGGGCAAAATACGTCCCATGGGCTGGATCCATGCAGGCTCCCTTCCTGCCCTGCCCCCACACTCTACTCAAAGTGACCACCTGCAGGAGCCAGGTGCTGCTCTGAAGGCTGCGAGTCGGGGCAGGGGAGAAGGCTTCGCATGCTGCCCCCATCCCCAGCACAATCTCACAGTTCCTGCTG